AAGGTACTTTTTTGAGTCTTCTTAGCTCAATAGAATTTGGTTTATACATTGTTAATCATCATAAGTCAAGAATTTGATCATTTTTTTTATAAAAATTATGAAATATAAAAAATAAAAAATAAAAATTGTTTTTTTCCTTAACCAGAGATGAATGTGTGCATGCTGATGAAAAGGTACAAAAACTTCTTTAGATCCTTGACTCAATAGACATTAGCTCAAGTTATTGTTTATCAAGATAAAGCGGTTACATGTTGTGACGTGAAATGGGACATAAATGGATAATGATTCATCTTATCTAATTAAATTATTTAGAGGGCTATTTAGTTAATAATACCTTTTGATTTAACTAACTAGTCAAAATCTAAGAAGTTTACTCAAAATTTCTAGTATTTTTATTTATCAAAAGAAAATTTTAAAAATTGTCAATAAGTAAATAGATTTAAAAATTTGGCTCTTTTTGCTTCCATTATGACTCAAAAGTTATGCATTGTTTTTATGCATGGAAATTTTCTAAAACAAATTTTGTGTCTTTCATGTGACTGGCATTATTAATAATAAACAACGTCTTGACTAGATAATAACTTTATATATTTATATGTATCCCTATAATCTTAATTAATGGCCTAAAAATTGAATTTAGATTTGATATTGAGAATATCTCTTTAGCTGAAGGCCTAGAATTTTCAAGTGTCACCGTGGTATCAAGAATTAAAGAATGAAACTGGATTTTTTATATCCCTTTGTAGTTGTTTTACATTTTGTTATTTTAATTCAATAAATTTGTGGAACTAATTATCTTAGGCTCAAGGGCGTAGTTAGGAATGTTTCTTTATCTAGCTAGTATTTTTTTTAGTGATACAACACTTATTGATTAGTGACCTTTTTGAGCAAAACGTCACAATAGAAAATTTTAATTGAAAAAAAAAATGTGCATCTAGTCATAGGACATCATAAATGTTATTTCTCAAAATGCATTTGTTATATAAAAATATGTCTAATTATAAATTAACTGGAGTTTTGGGTTGAAAGTGGACAAACCAATTTCATAAATCATTGGAGTTGGAGTTCTTTCTCTAAAGAGATATCATAAATTTAAAAAATAAAATAAATAATATAACATTAAAAAAAATATATATAAATTATTGATTAAAGAACAATGACTTTAAATAGTCAAATAAGTCAAATGAATGATAAATAAGCAAATGTCTCTTGTGTGCTTACCAATATTAGAATGATTAATTACTTTTTCACTTAAATAAATATATGCACAAAGTCTAGAATAAACATTCAATTTCAAACCAAATGGTAGTATTATCTCAGAAAATGCTTTAGTTTGACTAAAATCTAAATAGATTTAATTACAGAAGGTTTAATTATATAAGTTTGCTTTGTAAAATCAACTAAAATATTAATTCATTGAAATTTTTTTATTAGACACAAATCTCTTGCTGAAAGCATAATTTAAAGGTAAATACATTTCGGTTACCTAATGATAAGTCCATTCTAATATGTTTAGTTTTACTTGACACATTCTGGTATACAGACCATTGTAAATCGGTGAATATGACTAGGAATATATAGCTCCTAAATAGAATTCTAATTGAAGGTTAAGTTACCAACTGTAATTTGACTACAATCTAAATATCTCATTACCCACATTTTTTATTAATAAAACTGAAAACAGCCACAGGTGAATGTTAACATCCAATAGATTTTGATAAGTTGTAGTGATTTGTTTTCCCAGAAGTTACTAGTTTTAAGCATTGGAGACTGCAACAACCTGTGTGCCGGAATTTCTCTGTTCAGTTGTGGCTTCAATAATTTGGAAGATTTGAGTATTTGGTATTGCGGAGTAAAAGTGGTATTTCAGCAACGAGATGTTGCAGTTGATGGACAATCACATCATTTATCATTCCCAAGTTTGAAAAAATTGGACTTGGGCTGTCTAAATGAATTAGAAGGTTTATGTAACGGTTCCAAGCATGTTTTAAGCCTGCAAAATCTTACCACTTTAAGTATTTGTTCCTGTCATAGGCTGACACATATCTTTTCAACTACTTTTGCTCGAAATATGCTGCAATTGGAAACTCTGTCAGTTGAAGGTTGTACGGAATTGCAGCAAATCGTGGTTGAAGATGATGATGATCATCTCCAATCTCTCTTTCCAAATCTCTCAAAAATTCATGTCAAATGGTGCGACAAATTAAAGTGTGTCCTTCCTATCACCATGGCCAGAGGTCTTCAACAATTGAAAGTGGTAACTGTGGCATGGGCGAATCAACTGGAAGAAATATTTGGACATACTGATAGAGTTGATGTCATGACTGACAAAGAAATCCGGCTACCCCAACTTGATGAGTTGTTATTTCAAGATTTACCAAATTTTGCTAACTTCTGTCCTGTCGGATATCACTTCATATTTCCATCTTTGAATACATTGATAGTTGAAAGATGTCCCGAGATGAATACAGCATTTTCCTTAAATCGACAAAATAAATTTGTGTACGCGGAAGCAAAGGTTCTTTTTTGAGTCTTCTTAGCTCCATAGAATTTGGTTTATACATTGTTAACCATCACAAGTCAAAAATTTGCTCTTTTATTTACACTAATATAGTTGGACCGAAATTTTAAATTTTTTTCCTTTGTAGCTAATTCATGTTTTCTGCAAACCTTGAAAAGCTTAATGATATTATTCGTCTTTCATGTTTCCATTAATTGGTTTTCCAGGCACCAAAAATAAGCTTGAAAAATAAAGGAGTAGAGTTCACTCTAGAGCCACCGGTTGAGATCAAGTGCTGGAAGTCTGATCACTTCCCAAAAGTATTACCGCTACGTGATGAGCAAACTGTCACCCAGCAAAATGATATTGAAAACTGACAAGCAAATTTGAAATAAACTCATGACTGTTAACCAGGTAATGTGGCTCTATTTTAGATTCTTTTTATTCTTTCTCTTGTCAGTTTTAGTGGTTCAGTTCTGTAACACCCTAATGGATTTTACTGTATATTTGAACAACTCAAGACCACTCAGTTTTAGCTACAAGATATAAAATAATACCACCCCTGGTTTCCCTAACTAACATGTTGTTGATGCTCAGTTTATGCACCAACGAATTTTCACGTGTATTATGCTGATTGGCCGTTCAATACACACAAAAATGAAATATATATAAAAGCGGTAGTAATTTAGAAACAATAAACAATAAAAAGAATGAAACTATTTGGATTTAAGTGAAAAGGGATAAAAACAAACAACCTTAAGAGTCTAACTTCCTGATTAATTCCATTAGCTAATCAAAGTTTCATAAGATTTCGTTGAATCTTCAAATATTTCAGGTTGAGGCAGAATGCCGTATGATCTCATCTCTCTCATTTCTTGAATCCACAATAACGTATTTAAATTGTGGAGTAAAAGTGGTATTTAAGCAGGGAGATCTTGCAATTGATGTACAACCACAACAGATATCATTCCCAAGTTTGAAAATCTCGGACTTGCACGGTCTAGAAGAACTAGAAGATTTATGTAAAGGTTCCCAGTTTGTTTTAAGCCTGCAAAATCTTACCACTTTAAATATAAGCTGCTGTCGTAAGCTGACACATATCTTTTCAGCTTCTTTTGCTCAAAATATGTTGCAATTGAAAAGTCTCTCAGTTGAAGGTTGTAAGGACTTGGAGCAAATAGTGGTTGAAGATGATGATGTTCATCTCCAAGTTCTCTTTCCAAATCTCTCACAAATTCATGTCAAAGGGTGCGACAAGTTAAAATGTATCCTTCCGATCAGCGTGGCCCGAGGTCTTCAACTGCAAGAAAGGGATGTAAGACAGAACTTTCAATTAAAAGAAGTATTTGGACATGAAGAGAAAGCAAACCTCATGGATGAAAATGTAATCATGCTTCCTCAACTTGAAGAGCTCACCATAGTTGATGCCCCTCAGCTGAAGTCAATCTTTTATTTTGAAAATGTTACTGAATGGTATGGAAAAGATATCCAGCTCCCTAAGCTAAGAAAATTGTTATTTTCTGGATTAGCAAACCTGATCAGCTTCTGTCCAGAAAATTGTCCTTCGACTTGGCCAGCTTTGGAAGAGTTCAGGATATATCATTGTCCCAATTTAACGATGCCTTTCCTGGATCAAGTTAGAGTTCAAAATCTGATGAAAGAGGTGTGTATATGTTTTATCATCTTTAAATATCTGAAGAAAAGTAGCAAGTCAAGTTTAACTTAAGGTTATAATTTATATTTTTTCAAAGAAGTAATGCCTTAGTTTGGCTAAAATCTAAATAGATTTAATTACAGAAGGTTTAATTATATAAGTTTGCTATAATTATAATATTAATTCATCGAAATTTTTTTATTAGACACAAATCTCTTGCTGTAAGCATAATTTAAAGGCAAATACATTTCGGTTACTTAATGATAGGTCTATTCTAATATGTTTAGTTTTACTTGACACATTCTGTTATACAGACCATTGTAAATTGGTAATTCGACCAAAATCTAATTATCTCATTACACATTTTTTATTAATAAAACTGAAAACAGTCACAGGTGAATGTTAACATCCAATAGATTTTGATAAGATGTATGTGATTTGTTTTCCCAGAAGTTACGAGTTTTACGCATTGGAGACTGCAACAACTTGTGTGGCGGAATTTCTCCGTTCAGTTGTGGCTTCAATAATTTGGAAGATTTGAGAATTTGGAATTGCGGAGTAAAAGTGGTATTTCAGCTAGGAGATCTTGCGGTTGATGGACAATCACATCACTTATCATTCCCAAGTTTGAAAAAATTGGACTTGGCTGGTCTAAAAGGATTAGAAGGTTTATGTAACGGTTCCAAGCATGTTTTAAGCCTGCAAAATCTTACCACTTTAAGTATTTGTTCCTGTCATAGGCTGACACATATCTTTTCAACTACTTTTGCTCGAAATATGCTGCAATTGGAAACTCTGTCAGTTGAAGGTTGTACGGAATTGCAGCAAATCGTGGTTGAAGATGATGATGATCATCTCCAATCTCTCTTTCCAAATCTCTCAAAAATTCATGTCAAATGGTGCGACAAATTAAAGTGTGTCCTTCCTATCACCATGGCCAGAGGTCTTCAACAATTGAAAGTGGTAACTGTGGCATGGGCGAAACAACTGGCAGAAGTATTTGGACATACTGATAGAGTTGATGTCATAACTGACAATGAAATCCAGCTACCCCAACTTGATGAGTTGTTAGTTCAAGATTTACCAAATCTTGCTAACTTCTGCCCCATCGGATATCACTTCATATTTCCATCTTTGAATACATTGATAGTTGAGAGATGTCCCGAGATGAATACAGCATTTTCCTTAAATCAACAAGATAAATTTGTGCACGCGGAAGCCAAGGTACGTTTTTTGAGTCTTCTTAGCTCAATAGAATTTGGTTTATACATTGTTAACCATCATAAGTCAAGAATTTGCTCTTTTTATTTACACTAATGGAGTTGGACGGAAAATTAAATTTTTTTTTCTTTTATAGCTGATTCATGTTTTCTGTAAAACCTTGAAAAGCTTAATGTTATTATTCGTCTTTCATGTTTCCATTGATTGGTTTTGCAGGCACCAAAAATAAGCATGAAAAATGAAGGAGAAGAGTTCAATCTAGAGCCACCGATTGAGATCGTGTGCTGGAAATCTGATCAGTTCCCAAAAGTATTACCGCTACGTGATGAGCAAGCTGTCACCCAGCAAAATGATATTGACAACTGACAAGCAAACCTGAAACAAACTCATGACTGTTAACCAGGTAATGTGACTCTATTTTAGATTCTTTTTATTCTTTCTCTTGTCAGTTTTAGTGATTCAGTTCATGTAACACCCTAATAGATTTTACTGTATACTTGAAAAACTCAAGACCACTCAGTTTTAGCTACAAGATATAAAATAATACCACCCCTGGTTTCCCTAACTAGCATGTCTTCAAGTTCAAAACAGAGAATGGTGACCATTAAAACTTTCGAAGGGATCTATCATGCCACAATTACAGGCTTTTTTGTTAACTAGGCTGTATAAATCTTACTCAAACTCTCATATATCAGATAATGATTCTGTGTTTTAAATTTCTTTTTCTGTTTTCAGAATTAAATCAGAAGATGAAAGGTGTTTACGTCAATTTGAACTTTCAGATGTGTTTTACACTAACTCTAATTGACCTCTGCTAGCAAGTATACAATGAAAGGTGAACCTGAAGATCGCTTGGCTCTTAGATCTAGCACATTCCCATGTGTATTCATTGAATTTGAACAATGCAGCAGATACTGATGAAATTCTCCTCCAACCTAGACTTTTTTTTTTTTTTTTGGACTCCTGTTATTATGCTTCTTGTTGGTTTTGTTTGAGTTTTAAGGCATTATGGTTGTTCTTAATTGTATTGCATTTTGAATTTCGTGGCACATAATCTCTAGACTTTTTCTCTAATACCAATATTTTATAAGTTGTTTTATTAAATTTTATTTTGTGATTTTTTGGGGAGTAAAGTGAAATAATTAGAAACTTGTTAGGGAGTAAAGTAATATCTAAAACAAGTGAGGACTAAAGTAAATATGTCAGATATTTTCGATGAACAGTGTTCCCCAAATAAGTGGTGGAAAGAGAGAAGAAGATGGGGGAAAAAGAAGAAAAGAAAAAGGAGAAGCGAACGAGAAACGGGTTTCAGCCGAGAAGAAGAGTGAAAGAGTGAAGAAAGGAAAAAACAAAATATGGAAGAGAGAGAGAGAAATAGGCGCCGACTAAGTGAAGAAGAAAAGGAGATCACTCAATTTTTGTAAGATTTGGTGAAAAGGAAGGAGGAAATCCGTGAGGAAGTGCTGGGCTTTTGGGTGGAGCACCGAAATTGTGAGTGGAATAGTATTGCATAAAAATTGGGTTGATTATGAATTGTGCTTGGTTGACTTATTTGATGATATTTGAGTTTATGAGGAATATTATCTATTTTCTGTACATAATTATTTAACATGCAAATGAGTGATATGAAGACTTTGATTTTCGGCCAAATAAGGGTGTATATATATATTGGGTAATTTGTATTGACTGTATTGATTTATGTGTAGAATCCTTTTGCTTGAATAGGGAAACCAAATTGTTGAGTGGTGAAATGGATTTTCTTCAGTTGTAGTGTCGGCAGTCATTTGGTTTTTCTTTTAATTTTTGGTTAATACTTCATTTTCATGCATGTTTATATGATGATTACATGTGCTGTGCTGGTGGTAAAAATATATGATGGGTTTTGTGAAATAATTTTGTTGGTGAGATGGTAAGGCGAAATGCCTTTGTTTGACTCTAAAATAATAAGTTTTATCTCCTTGGCATGGTATAATTATATATAAAATAAAATGGCTTTATATTTTAAATGAAATGTGGGTTGGTAGATTTGGGAGCAGTTTCATTATGGGTTGTTGTTTGAGCTCGGCCAATGGAAGAGTAAAGGAGGGAGAATGATTAAAAATGGGTCCAGACTTTGGTAATGGGAAGTGGTAGTTGGGTTGATATATTGGATTGGTCACAACTTTGTTCTTTTAGCAGGGGGTATATATGTTTATGTATATATATATTAGCTTATAACTTCATGTTATAGTAAAGTTACCTTATGAGAATTAGTGTGTTGGCTGCTGGAAAATTGTTGATAAATTAGTGAACTTGTGATGTTGAATTAATGGGTGGAGTCGGTCATGTGTAGTGAGTTGCAATGTTGAGGAAATTCCAAATCTGGGTTAAACTGTCAGTTTTGAAACATGTTTAGAAGTTTGTTTTTTTACCCCTGAATGACCATAATTCAATGTCCAGTGGACAGACGAAAGCTTGAGATTTCTGGCAGAATTTCCTGATACTAACTATAACGCGGATTACCAGCCCTTTGATCTCAACTCAACATTTGTCATCAAAGGGTCATGGGATGTGAATAATAATCAGCTTATTGCTATTGCCTGCCGAATCTTGAACAAAACCTAGATCTGTAGATAATTCTTATGTTGAGGATTGTTCAATAAGGTTTAGCTTGAGATTTCCTGCAGTATGGTCAATCAGAAATACTAGTAGTGTTTTAGGGCAGCTTTGGAGTAAGAAAACCGAAAATGATTCAGGCTACTTTGATGGGATTGCATTTCAAAGCACTGAGACTCAGGATCTCAGAATTCCAGGTTTGAAGTATATGTATGCTGAAATGGCGAAAGTAAGAAAGTTGTGCCCAAAGAAGAAGCATCAAGTTAGGAAAAGAAGAGGGTATTATCCAAATGGCTCTCTTAAAGAAATGTTGTTCCATGCATCGGTCAAAAGTTCTCCAGGAAAAATTGTAGAGTGCTATTCAAGTCCTCTCTTTCTTGGTGATCAGATGATTTCTCCCTGGTTTCAACCTTCCATTCCATCGTCAAGCTCAAAAACAGAAAAATCTTCTCTCGATGAATATCGCTACAAATTGAGCTTCACTTACAGTCTGCTGTAATTCAATGGTAACAGTCACTATTTCAGTTTTCTTCAGCCTCGCAAATGAGAGTAATATTGCGGATGAGGTGTTTTGATACTGAAACAGCTGTAGAGATATCGGCGCAAGCGATCAGATTGTAAAAATGATTATATGGCTGTGAGATCTTTGTGAATCTTCAATTTCCTCCACTCGAAGCAAAAAAAAATGCAGGTTACTAACGGGCCCATTCAAGTACAGGGGAAAAATCCGACCATCTTTACTTTGAACCCCTGCATTTGTCCTCTGCTGCACTTTATGCAGGAAGCTCAATACGGAAAATGGATTGACATCGTCATGGTCCTGACTCCACACTCTTGCAAGAAGCCCCTTTGCGCTTCTTTAATTTCAGCAATCATGCTTAGGGCTCATGGTTCCACTTGTTCATAAAATTCTCAATCACCAAAATGTCTTTGCTCAATGAAGGAGGATGGCTAGAAGTGAATAGTTGATCGCCTCACCAAATCCGCCTCAACAAGTTCCAGACCTCAAAGAATACCTCTGTTTTCTCTCTTTATTTGACATTATAATATGTTTCACCTGTTCCAAATGCATATGATCTTTACGGGGCAAATAGTTATCCCGAACCACTTTGATGGATCATACATATATGCAAATCCTGGTGCAGATTTAAAAGCAGCTCCGGAATTCCAATTCTTTGTTCAGCTTAAATCTAAAAAGGAGAAAAAACAGAACAACGAATCATATTGATAGAAACAGGTCCAGATTCCAATGTAGGACAAAAATAAGTCCAGGTTTCCCACTGTAAGACCCAAAGTATCTATCTCTTAACATTCCCAAATGATATAGAATGTCATACAATTTCTTTTCTTTTTTTTTTTTTTTTTTTTTTTTTCCAATGGTTTTTTTTTATTTATCAAAGGTAAATGGAAGTATTAACTATGACATTCATTGAAATGACATCAATCTATTCTTGAAAACTTGATGAATTGTTTTAACAATAGAAAATGATACAGTCACCAAAGGTAGTGCATCGAATGATATGGTAAAATTTTAATCATCGTTAATATTAAATTAAAATTAATCAACAGTAAGATTTTATCACATCATTCAATACATGAATTCGGTAACACAACTTTAATGGCTATAGCATTACTCTTTACCGATATCATAGAACTCCGCAAGGCACATTCTTGCCAAGTCTTCTGATCAGCCCGTTTCCTCAACGTGTCCTACTTTCTCTGGCCGCTAAAAACCCTAAACCCTTCCTATATTAACCCCCCAACCTCCTGTTCGCCTCCAGAGAAACACAACGAACTATTCTCAGTAACTTGAACTCAGCGCAAATGGTGTTACTCAAAAACGGCAGGTCTTTTCCCAACTTCTCCGTAGCCGACTTGTACGCCATTCGAGCGTCGACATTTGCATTAAAGAACAGCAACTTTTCAGTCTTTAATCAATCCAAAACGAAAGATATTCGAGCAAGAACCCATTTTGGGAGATGGGTTTAATTTCGTTGATTTCGTAATGGGGAAAGATCAGGCCTTGTGCACAGAGCAGATATAAATGCCGACTGGGGCTGCGCGTGGTGAGTGATAAAATTTAAGGAACTAGCATCCAGGTTTTGGATTGAAAGTGGTATTTGAATTTAGGTCGTGAAGCTGATGAACAACACAATTGTCATTCCCAAATTTAAATAGATTGGAGTTGCTTTATCTGGAAGAACTAGAGCATGTATGTAAGGGTCACATGCATGCTTTAAGCTGCAAATCTTACCCATTAACTATAGTATCCTGCTGTACAAATTGAGACATATCTTCTCATCTCTGCTATGCTCGAAATTTTTTGCACTTGCAAGATTTGAAAATTGCCTGGTGTTATAATAGAACAAGTCATACTTGAAGTGATGAAGAGGATCAAAACTTGCAATTCCAACTTATTTTCTTTGCAAATCTCCACAAATTGCAATCGAAGCTGCAGCGAATTAAAATGTCTATTTCCTATCACTGGCCCAGAGGCTTCAACAACTGAAAGAGATACGCTGATGTTATGGATGACAAGAAATCCTTACCTACCTCAGCTAAACCATTGTCACTCGGAGATTTAGAAAATCTCATGAATTCTGCCCCTGGGGTTATCACTTCATATTTCCATCTTTGAAGAAGCGGTCCCAAGATACTTACTACTTTTCCTTTGATCAACGAAATGATTTGTTCATGCTGAAGCAGAAGTATTTGCAGATTTTTTGATTTAGCAGAAGTTGAGTATGTGTATGTTTTGAGTCATAAGTTTGCTAATTCTTTACTTTAATGGAGTACTGGGGCCAAAAATTATAATTTACTTGTTTTTTGTAAAATCATGACAGGCTTAATACTATGCTTCCATTAATTGCTTCTGCAGGCACTCAAAATAGCCAAGGAACATGAAAGCGCACAGCCTACCATTGAGATCAATACCAAAGGGGATTCTTCTCAATCCGAATCTGCCATTGAGATTGATATTAAAGGAGGGGATTCTTCTCAATTCCAAGAAATATTACTGCCGTACAAGGAAAATGATGAGCATAGTGCCACATAGCAAAAGGAAGAAAAGAAATAAGAAGGATGCATGAAACATGCTCATGCTAACCAGGCAATGTGACTATTAATATTATTTTAGCTTGTAATGGTTCAGTTTCATGTAATACCCTAATAGACTTTTTTGTGTACCTGGAGAACGCTGACAACAGACAAGACCGATTCATTCTTAGCCACAAGATAACATCATCTCACCACCAGCTGCTGATCATTACTACTGAAGGCACCTATGATGCCGAGAAAAGAGGGTTCGTGCTAAGTAGGCTGCCTTCAAACTCTTT